CCTGTACATGCACAGCAGGAGAAACCACATCCTCTGCAAAGAACATGATTCTAAGGTGCCACCCAGCTGCTAAGTAGGAGGGGCATCAGTCCAGCCTTTTGAGACTTTTTTGTTAGAGACATGGCTGCCAAGGCCATTTTATTGAGCCAGAGCCATCTTGTGGAATAGATGTGTTGGGTACAGGAAATCCACAGGAAGATCCTGGAATAGATCTAATTCAGTCAGGACTGAAGTGTTGGCCAGGATGTAATCAGGGCCTCATTTACTTCAATCAGTGGCAGATTTACAGAGATGCTAATATCAGAGACCCTCATTGACACACACTCCTCCCAAAGCCCTATACCTGATTCTATGTTTGTAATTCCCTTTACTTAAAAAGGAAGTGCAAAGTGATTTTTAAGAAAAGAAGGGTTGGGGTGTAGCTCAGGGGTAGAGAGCACTTGCCTAGTGTGCAAGAGGGCCTGGGTTCCATCTCCAGCACTGCAAAAAAAAAAAATAGGGCTGGGGATTTAGCTCAGTGGTGCTATGCGCAAGGACCCGAGTTTGATCCCCAGTATCAAAAGAGAAAAAGAAACAGCAGACCTCACAAACGTGGGGCCTTCCCTGCTTTCAGTCTGCAGGAAATTTGGCCTCAAGTTTCAAGAGTGATCAAAAATACTAGTTGGAGAAACAATCAAATACTTAACTGACATTGAATTAATATGGTTGGAAGTAGTGGTTTGGCGTAGTTGCTGACAGATGACACACCTTGTAGATCCTTTTGCTCAGAGTCGGAGAAAGGATAATAAATGTAAAATGGCTTAGGAGAAATTATAATGCTACCTATAAGCTAGTATAAAATAATTGGTTTACATGGGCATGGTGGCACAGGCCTATAATCACCTCAAGAGGCTGAGGCAGAAGGATTGCCGTGAGCTCAAGGCCAGCCTGGGCTACATAGTAAGACCTTGTGGAGAGATAGAGATGAGAGAGAGAGAGGAAGCGAGCGCACAAGAGAACTACAAAGTGAACATGTAAGTCAAGAGAATCACTAGTATCTGACAAGGTCAGTTGAGGAACATTTGGAAAAAGCAAAATAAAACTGGAAATTGAAGGAAACGTACATAAACTGAATAAGAATCTGTAGTGGTGCTTTGCAGTCATTGGTTGCAAAAGCCCCTTATAGATAACATTTTTGGCTCAAAATAAGCTTTGGAGCTCATGTGCTCAGTCTAAAGGAAATCCAGCACAGACCAACTTGCAAATCATGCGTCCTTTCTGCTACGTTTATAATACCCTTGAATTGGATTCTGATGATACTTGATGCCTCACTCAGTGCGTGGGTGAGAGGAAGGGCGAGGGGTTGAATTTGAAATCAAATGGAGAAATGTCAAAAGTATTAGAACTTATTTGCCCCAGAGGCAGTGACATTTTTGAGACGACTCACACAACAGTAGAGGAAGAGAAATCTGAAGGGGGAATGAAGCAAATGAGCTTTTTAGTTTACATGCAGACCACTGGAGTGGACCGAACCAACACCTCCCCTCCAAGGACTTTTTTTTGGGGGGTGAGGCAGGGCCTTGCTCTGTAATTTAGGCTGGCCTTGAGCTCACTGTGTAGCCCAGGCTGGCCTCAAACTTGGGGTAATCCCCCTGCCTCAGCCTCCCAAGTGCTGGGATTTCAGGCAGGTACCACCACGCCCGGCTTACTGTTCCAAAGACTTTTATCTCTAGGGTTGGGGGTGCCTGAGAAAGTGGATGTAGGAGGTGCTCTGGAAACTAGCTGGCTCCCCCAGAAACGCAAATCACACACACAAAATGGAACTAGAGTGTATTTAATCCATGTTTCTGTGAAGCCACTTCTTTGTGCTGGTCACAGTGCTAGATTGTAGGGTGATAACAAAGACACACCTGTTGTCCTTAGGAAGCTTTTCTGTTTTAAAAAATGAGAAATATCAGCCTAGGTATTCCTGAAACACATGGTCCATCTCCCACAATGACTTTTAGTAACATTAAGGGGGCAGATATATTTATTTCCTGGAACAGTTCCCTAAAAAGATTAGCAAAGTCCTCGGGCATAGTGACACATGCTTATAATCCCAGCTACTCAGAGGCTGAAGCAGGAGGATTGCAAGTTCAAGGTCAGCCTGGGCAATTGAGCAAGACCTTTTCTCAAAATAAAAATAAAAAACTGGGGGATGTAACTCAGCAACAGAGCACAGTGGTAGAGCCCTTGCCTAGCATATGCAAGGCCCTAGGTTCAATCTCTAGTACAGCAAACATCATCACAAATACTTAGGAGGCTGAGTCAAGAGGACTGTAGCAAGTTCGAGGCCAGCCTGGGCTACATAGGGAGTTCAAGGCCAGCCTGAACTACATAGCAAGACCCTATCTCAAAAAACAAAACAAAACAAAAAAGAATAAATAAAGATTAGCAGCATCTCTCATATGTCATGGATCCCTCATCTATAAATTCCTTATACTTTTATTTAAAAAACAGTTTGATTGAAGTATAACTTACACACCACACAATCTACCCATTATACATGTGTATTCCTAGAATGTTGTTTTTGATTTCAGTTAACTTATAGAATTGTGAACCAATATCACATTCCAGCTGAGGAACATTCCACCACCCCAGAGAGTTCTATTGGTTCTGTTTCCAGGTGATCTCTACTCCCACCCCTCACCCCGGGCAAGCACTGATCTGCTTTCTGTCTGTATAAATTTGAATTTTCTGGACGTTCTGTATACAAAGATCATGCAATATGTAGTCTTTCATGTCTGGCTTCTTTCACTTAGCACAATGTTTTCAAGTTCAATCCATGTTGTAGCATGCATTGGGATTCTGCTCCTTTGTATTGATAATAGTAGTCTACCTAAATTCTTGTAAAAGTTATTTATGTGTTGAGACAACACCACCCAGAATGCAGGAGGCCTGGTCCCTTTCATTCTCTGAGTGGCCTTTGGCAACGTCTTCCCTTGTCTGGGTTTCCTTTTCTCCATCCCGTTGTGACGAATCATACATATCTCTATTATGTCCCTTCCAGTTATTTTCTTTTAAGAATTCATGTGCTTTTCATGGGCTGCCTGCCATTCAGCCCAATATTCTAGAATTTTAATGTTTTTCTTATGTTTCCTCTTTACCTGTCTGAAAATTTCTGCCATATCATTATTGTTCAGGATAAGGCCCCTTTATCTTTAAAAAGCTACAATTTAACAAGAAAATTGGATTCCCATTGAGAGCCACAGGAGAGTTCAGGGATGAATGCCATCCCATTCAAATGAAGCCAAGAACAAGTGGAGGACCAAAGAAGATGTGGTGGGCCACTGCAAGGGACAAAACATGTCAGAGAAAGCGCAGGAGGTCAAAACCCAGGCCAGCTGGTTACCCTGGGAGTAACAGGGAAGGGGTTCAGGGAGAGGGCGGCTACCAGGACAGGAAGAGGGGCTAAGGAATCAGACCCCTCCCTACCCTGTTCCCTTAACCTCATTCATTCCCGCAAACCTCCTTCCCAGTCCCTCTCAGGCTGCTCTGCTCCTTCAGTTCTGACCCCATTTCCTCAGGATCTCGTTCCCCGGTTCCCTGAGGAGCCAGGCCTGACATTTCAGACCGAGGCTGAGTAAAGGAGGTAGGTCGGAAAAAAGCACTGTGAGTCCGCGGCGTCTTCTTTTCCATTGCACTATTTTGGAATTCAGGGGCCAAAGACGTAAGTGCATTGACATTTACCAAAAACTTCAGAGACAGGCAGGCCCCCAGGGACCAAGGGGAATCAAAGCTTCTCTAATCTTTGCTGAGCAGTCGCTACTGGGTATATTTTGGAGGATACAAATGTGGAACTCCCATTCTTGTGAGTTATTGTGGCATAAATGGACACATGGAGCAGGATTCAGGTGTCCTGGATGCAGGGCAGAGAGTGCCTTTAGAACCGTCAAGTTCCAGTGACAACCATGGTTAGTCCAGTGGTCAGGAAGAAGAGGCCACAATTCCCCCACAGCCTCTTGTCCTTGGTGGTCCTCTGAGTCTTACTGCTCTTAAACCCTCCAGCCATATAGGGACTGCTTGGGGGGAGTCACTATACCACTGACTCACTGCTGTAGGAAACGTAAGTCCCATTTCTTGAGTCCTCATTTATTTGTGACAGCTGTGGATATCCCAAGACCAATCTGGGATCCAGGGTCTTAGCATTTGCTGTTTGAACCCCACGAAGCAAATAAATGTCCTAGAGATGAAAAATTATCGATATATTTGGTGAATGGAACCTTCCACTTTTGAAGTTTTTCAAGTGCCTACCTCTGACCCAAAGTCTCTGAAAGTAGGAACCAGGTTAGGTCTTTCATCTGGAATAGATCCAACCCAGTGGCACTTTACGTACAAGCCTCAAGGCCTCCTGGGCTGTGAATTCCAGAATAAGGACCACATCTCCAGCATTATTGTCGTTCCTTAGTGCCTAGCTCAGAGTCTGGCATAGTGGTCATTTCAATAAATACGTGACAAGTGCATTAATGGAAGGCAATGATATTGCTAAGGATGGAGGTAGGAACAGTAATGAAAGTTTTCTCAAAAGCAAGAAAACAGTTTGTAACTCCAGGCATAGCAGCACACGACCTCCTATAGCCATTGAAGTGGCTGGTTTTAGGAAACAGACAGGAGCTCATCTTTGAGGTCCTTATCCTTCCATCATACCCAGGCCAGGAGAAGCTATCAGGACAGAGAGGCGAACAAGAGCCACCTGGTTGGGCATGGTACCTAGTAAAGAGAGGACAGATTTCCCTACACACACCTCCTCCTACCCCTTTAGCTAAGGTCAACTTCAGTCTTTTGCTAGCAACTTATCAGGAAAGACCATAACTTTCTGAACTCGGAAGATTCCATTCTTTGGCTGTGCCACCTCCAGTAGCTCTTTTTCCACTGTCCAGGTCTTCAATTCCTGGTACCTTGGCCTTAGAATAAGGTTTAGAATCTCCAAGGCAACAATATGTCTGTACAATGATATGTCATTTTATCTTTTCTTTTTCCAGTACTGGGGATTGGACCCAGGCCCTTGTACATGCTAGTCAAGCCCTGTACCACTGAGCTACACTTCCACCTATTGCCTGACAGCAAAAGGGTGAAACCACTGGTATGTCATTTTATCTTTAGAACAAGCCTGTGGGGTTAATGGAGCAGGGGTGATCTGGCATAGAGAGAAAAAGCCATTTGCCCAGAGTGTTTCAAGATTCCTGTGTTTCAAGATTACCTCTAATATACATGATAAGGTTCAATCAATAAAAACTACTCATCTTCTCCCAAGGCTTCTAAGAATCTACATGTTGAGAGGTCCTCAAGGCTATAGGTTTTCAGGCAAGAACAGATTTTAACACACCAATTGGTTTACCCTTTTGCTGTCAGGTAATAAGTCTAGAGCAATGACGGTGAACCTTTTAGAGCTTTCAGTGATAACAAACAGCCCGCCATGGCACACATGCTATAGACTCACCACCACTGGCCTAGCGTGTTGGTTGGGAAAGTTCTTGAATCTGGAGTCAACAAAATTAGGATGTAAGTCCTTAGTCTGCCATTTATTAACTTGATGACCTTGGGTAAGTCTGAGACTTCACCTATTGTAGAATGATGACGATGATGTTTGCACTTCCTACCTGACATGCCTACTGTGAGAATTAAATGAGATGATATATATGAAAGTTATAAGACACTAGACAAATGTTAACTTTCACATCTCAGCCAGATTTACATTTTTAGAGATTCTTTATGTAAAATGTCAATAGTAAACCTTCTGTGTTCATGAGAAATTTTTTACAACCATAGGGTTTAGGGGCTCGGCTCCAGAGTCAGGCTCCCTCAATAACCTTAGGCATGTTGTTTTTCTCTGAAGCTTCAGTTAAAGAGGATAAAATACCTGTCTCGTAGGTGTGATAGTGAGTATTCAATGAGATAATGTATGCACAATGCTTAACATGGACCTGGCTTGGAAAAAGAAACTTAATGAATGTTAGTTCCTACCATTACTGCTTTTATTAATGAAGATATGAAGCAAGGTGGTCCAATAAGATATGGTAGAGTTCTGAGTCAAAAGGAGTCAAAAGGACTTCTTTGGACTTCAGTTTCCCTCCTTGGACCATGGTAAGAATCTATGGTTTGCCTCTTCCAGATAATCATGAGGGTCTTTAAAAACTGCAGGAAAACCTTGGACTGGTTGAAACTGAGAAACAGTATTAGTGTAAGATATTCTTTAAAAAACCAAGCTAAGTCTATATAGACTAAGTTTTTATCAGTTCATCAGTTTTGTTCATTCCTATCTGCTTTTGATAAAGTGGTCCTCTTCGTGAAAAAGGAGGACAGCATTTCTGCAGTCAACCAAAAAATTCCCATGTCATTTTTTTTTCTTCTCCCATGTCAGATTTTGAAGCAAATCCTTCCAACCTGCAAGAACGCCATCTTTGTGAAGAAACCCTCTCTACAGAATGTCCCTTGGCTTCACTGGTTCTGTGTATGTAGGCTGATTTAATATTCAGTCAATCCTTGGATTTCACTTCCAGTATATCTGCTTCCAATATTTAATCCCAGCATGACATCTCCTCGCCTCACAGCGTGCTCCCAGTGTACCCTCCTTCACTCTGATTAGAGTGGCTTCAGGGAATACCTTCCTTTTAACATTAAACTGGGTAAAAACAGAAATAGAAAGATAAATCTGTAGCAAGATCAAAAATAGAATTCATAGCTAAATATAAATCTAGAGGGAATTATCCAATTATTTGGATGGTCCCTCACCACAGACAATCCAGGGTTGACTGACTTTTGCTTTTTCCATATATAGAACAAAATGGTTAACAAATACAAGAGCAACATGTTTTCTTTTGAAGAGTCATAATTTTTAATGGTACTTTAAGTGCAGCTTTCTTCTCCCAATGCCTTTATATATTACAGCATGTGATTTTCAAAATTGCATACATTTTCTTTGGGGACAATCCAGTCTCATTTTGACTTGTGGGTCAGAGAGCACTAAAGTGGGAAGACCATGATTTACTAATGGAGTCACTTTGCAAACTTTAGGCAAGTTTCTCTGTCGCTTTGGTGTTTCTACTCTGCCGAAGTGGACTTGGAATGGTCGACTCTGCCGGAAAATTCCCACCCCCCCCTTTCCCGCGAGTCCCAGCCTAATTTACCGGCTAACGTGTTTTTTTTAACGTTGGACCAACCTCCAGTAGGAAGCTGGGAACGTGGAGGAAAACAAATGTGAATGTCACATGAGGCAAGGTAGCCATTAAGTGCGCCCATATAATGCAAATCCCATGCAAATGATATACAAACTTTACAGTACTTTGTGGCATCTTAATTTGGAGCTTGCGAGCAGCTCTGAGAGCCTACGAGGATTTAAAACTAGTGTTTTTAGGTTAAACTAAATGTAATGCCTTTTGAAGTTATCACTTTCTCCGTGCTACTGGGGCTCAACAGTTTAAAGTTTGACACTCCGCCCCCCACAAAGATTTCACTGTTTGATTCCAACCTACACCGGCCCCGCCCCTTCAAGCCTGACGTCACGTGACATCATATTTGCATACTACCTGGGACTGGGTGTGACGCTCCCCCTTTCTGAGCCTTTTCATTGGTGGTGCTGAAGAACCAGCCCTTTCGGGACGGTCCAATCAGCGGACTCTTGGACGTAGGACAGCTGGAAGGGGGCGGGGTGGGGTGGGGTCTTGGGTTGGATCGCTAGGCTTACCTACCAATCATCCGCGGGAAAGGAAGAGCCCTTCGAGGATTGGTTGAGGGGGGTGGGCCCGGGGCTCCGTAGGCCAATTAGAGCTCTGAGCTGAGGGGGCCGGTCCCCGTCCCTAGGGCAGATAAGCAGCGGCAGCGGGGGGTTGGGGGGCTGTGTGGGGCTCGTCCTGGGGCTGAGGCAGGCTGGCGTCCGGGCGGGCGATGGCGGGGGCCGCAGCGGGCGGCAGAGGCGGAGGTGCCTGGGGGCCAGGGCGCGGAGGGGCCGGGGGGCTCCGGCGGGGCTGCTCTCCACCAGCGCCCGCCGGCTCCCCCAGGGCTGGGCTGCAGCCGCTCAGGGCAACGGTCCCCTTCCAGCTGCAGCAGCCGTCTCAGCGCCGGGACGGGGGTGGCCGCGCAGGTGAGCCGGGCCCGGTGCGGGTGCTGGGGGAGGAGCCGTTGGGGGAGGGGGCGCAAGGCGGGGGTGGGTACTGGGAGAAGAGCGAGGGGGAAGTGGATGGGGGCGAGGACAGGAGAGGGGGCGCGCAGAGTGTGCGAGGGCGGAGGGAGCGAGAGCGAAGAGCAGTGAACGTGGGGTGCAACCCCAGGACTGTGCAGGGGGTCGGGGGCCGGACGTGAGCGCTGAGAGACCTCGCAGACTGAGGCTGGCCTTGGGGGCGTAACCGAAAAGTGGGGGTCGAGGTTTTGGAAAGGAGCGGTGTGGGATGGGGGCGCCCCGTGCCGAGGCTGCGCGGAGCGGGGAGCGGCCGGTGGGCGCTGGGCAGCCGCACGGGGAGGGGGAGGGGCATGGAGGCGAGCCCGTGGAGCCATGTGTTACTTCTCCAGCTCTGGTTCGGCCCGGCAGCCCTCTCTGCAGCTCTGGAGTCCTTTCCGCACTTCACGTGCGCTTTCCTTGCTGCCACCTCCCGGAGCAGATCTCCGCTCGCTGGAATAAGTTTTAACGGCTTTTCCTGCTGTGCAGACCCTCCGCTGCCCATTGCCTACGTTCCTCTACGTGGCCCCGAAGTTGTAAGTTCCCAGATCACTAACCTGCTTAATATGGCTGTCTCAATTCCAGCCATCCTGTGTGTGTGTGTGTGTGTGTGTGTGTGTGTGTGTGGATGGATGTGGATAGGGTCTGAGCAGTTCTCCCCCTGCTTCCCCACACCCCAGGTGGTTTTGTTATAAGCATTGCCAGCCAACGTGGCAGTGGGGTGAGGGCTACAATCAAGGACAGTGTGGCAAATACCCCACTTTCTGTACGGTACTCATATGTGTCTTAATAGCAGCTTGATGTGGGTGTGGGGAAACTTCGGAACGAGCAAGCTTAACCTTGTGTTCATACTCAAAACTCTGCCGGCCCCCGAAAATGCAGGCACTCAAGGCCAGAAAGGAACCTACTTGCACGAAGAGGTTGGCAATAAGTTGAAAGTGAGGCTTGTGCTTGATTCACACCAGATGTAAAGAGATCATTGCACACTTCCAAAGCCTGAGCCTGTACTAAATGTACAAAAGTCATGGTCCCTGCCATCTTAACAGTTAATGACATTCTCTAAACCAGAGTCTCTGGAGTTTTTGGTGCTTACTAAGCTTAGTTACTGCACATCTCCCTCTGGTAAGTAAGCTGTTACAGTGCCTTACTAGATAGGAATGGAATTAATCAGGTCTCTGAGGTAGAAAGCCCCTGGTGTCTGGACCTCACTGTATACATTAGCATCACATCTCGGAACACACAAACTTGGTCAAATGTGGTAGCAAGGTGGTGAACAACTAGTATGAGTATGTGTAGAAGACAGTGCTGTAGAAGGAGGCAATGCCCACACAAACTTATGCCTATCATGAGCTGTAAAGGAAACCACAAGACCTCAAACCTGTTGGTTTTGTTTGGGCTTCCTTGGAACCAAGGGAAGTTAGAACAACAAGCACCAGAGTCCAAGTCACTTGTAGTAGAAGTCAACAAAAAACCTCCTTGTGTAGTAGCTGGAAATTGACTAGTAATTATATTTTAATAGCAGTTCTTTTCTGACTCCTAAACAGCTAAAAGTAAAAGGGCACACTGGTGGACCCTATGCAAAGGGGAAGAAAGTAGGTTTGGATGCTTAGGTTTTTCACAAGGCTTACTCTTTATAAGGCTCAGGGGCCATAAGATACTGGCATAAACATAGGGAGCTAGACTCCTGCGTAACTTGTCAGATGACTTAGGACCATTGAATGGACTCTTGCTTATGTTTTGGGCTGATTGATCATTTCTCCCTAGGGGAAACCCCAGCATCATTAATAAGGCATTTACCTAGTGGGTGGTAGGGTTATCTGTAGATTTGCACCAAGGTAGGAGAGTTAAAAAAAAAAAAGAAGGAAAGAGTAGCGTGAGCCTGTGTATTTTGTTGTGGCCAACATTAGAGGAATGTACCTGGCCTTTGGTTTTGGGACACATACATCAGGTCTTCTGCATGTTGACTTCAGCTTCTGTGTGTGCAGATTGTTTCCATTCTGTGCCCTTGGGAAGCAGCAGGGATGATTCCTCTAGGCCAGCAGGACATAGGTGATAGAGGGGAAACCCCTTGCTATCGTGAGCCCTTCGGGGATGATGTTGTGAGTTTTGAATGCAGGTTCTGCCACTTATTAGCAGTGTGGCTTTGAGGAAGTTACTCCGCTTCTAAGTGCCTCAGTTTCCTCATCTGTGGATAATGCAGATATTTGCATCATAAGGATCAGAGAGTTAGGAAAGTACTTAGAACAGTACCTGGCACACTTGTGGTGTTGCCTGCTGCTTATATTGTTATTCCCTCCAGTGAGCCAGGCTGAGAGCACTGTTGGCCAGAACCCATTGCCTTTTCAGGCTTCAGAGAGCAAACCCAGATGGATCTGAAACCAGTACTGCAGGTTTTAGAATTTCAAGGCCTCCTCTTGCATTTTTATTCTCATCTTTTAAAATGAGCTTTCTAAACAGAACTCTGAAACCCAACTGTTTAAAAGGCATGTGAGCTGGGACTGGGTTTCAGGAACGATTTAAGTGTCTTCACGGTTTCTGTTTCCCATCCCCAAATAATGTAACACTCAGGGCTGTGCAGTTATTTCTGCACCACACACCCTACTGTGTTCTCCACAAGATATATGAGACCTTGTAAAAAGGGTTATGGTGTAAAGAGCAGGATTTACCTTCTGCAGCTATTCATCCACCAGGGATGTCTTCATAAAGTGAGGAATGGCTTCATTCTTATGAGCCTGGGCTAGGAGTGAGGAAGGCTGAGAAAGCAGTGAGAAAAATGAGGGTCAACTCTTAAGAAAGCTAAGAGCCACTAGTGAGTAATAGAAACCCAGGATAAATTTCTTACTGCAATTGCCCCTTAAATTAAGTTCTCTTTTGTGTCTTAGGTCAGTGGGAGGCTGCTAACTTTTGTGTTCTTCTGGGACTACTGATTGTGGACAAAACAGGACTAGGAGGTGGCATTTTCTGGGATCCAGTCTCTGTTTAGTGTCTCAGTCTCCATATCCCTAGGATGAAGAAAATAGGGGTTTGGTTTGGTTTGTTTTTGTTTGTTTGTTTGTTTTGTTTTTGGTACTGGGGATCGAACTTAGGTCCTCGCGCTTGTGAGGCAGGCAGCGGAACCACTGAGCTAAATCCCTGGCCCTGTTTTGTTTTGCTTTTGCAGTGCTGGAGATCAAGCTCAGAACCTTGGGCATGCTAGGCTAGCCCCATGAAGATAATATTTAATCAAGCATTGCTAATATTCCTCCAGGGGACCAGCCCCACTGAGGCTAGCTGGCTGGCTGGGAAGACAAATGCTGCCTTGGCACTTCCTCTACCCACAAGAACCTTTTTAAAGCAGGGGTTGGCATGTATAGCTTGTAGGCCATATTGGGCCTTCTGCCTGTTTTTACAAATAAAGTTTTACTGGAACACAGCCACACTCCTCCTTTAGGTATTGTCCATGGCTGGCTTCATGTTGTCTGGGACAGAGTTGAGTAGTTGTGATAGACTACGCACGAAGCCTAAAATATTCACTGTATAGTACATTACAGGAAAGTTTCCCTACCTTTTCCCTAAATAATATACCTGATCATTATTCCTATGTGAAGGTCAGTTTTAGTGTATAATATATACCTCCTCAGAAAACCCTAGGAGGGCAGGGAAAACTAGCAAGCCTATATCCCCACACATATTTTAGGGGAAAGGGGACCATCTGCTTCCAGTCCCTGTGGAAGATCAGCAGGCGTGACTCCCCACTCCCACGGTTGTCAGGTAACATGTTCAGTAGACATCACTAG